AGGTATTGCATTCGATGGTCTGGAATGGAGGGGTCTGGAACGGAATTCGGGGACTTGATCCGGAGCTCTGGATCGGAGTCTGGATCGGGATGTGCGCTCGCCCTTGTTCCGGACCTTTCATATTGAGCGGTAGCCACATATTCCTAAGGCCCCACGGCAGGAACCCACACATGAAAGCATGCTACGCTAGTGAGGCTTTGCCATGGTCCTTGTACTGCCAGCTGTGCTCTTCAAGCATGTTCGGAAGCAGGCCTAGAAGGTATCGTCAACAGTTGGTGGGACTTGGACATGTCTCAAGCTTCGGGTCCTTGTCTAAATCCTAAGTCCACTCCAGCCTTCCTTTTCGGGGATGCCAGAAGTTCCTGATTGTGGAACCTGCCACGCTTCTATTCAAGTCATTGTCCAAGGGGCCCCGGTGCTCGTCGATGCTGGACACCAAGCCGCGCCCACACTGGAAGTCGGACTCCTCCACGGCCTTCTGCAGATCACAACAATGCATTCAAAGGAAGATGAAGAATTGACTCGCCATCCTAAGAGTATGCTTCAGACTGGGTCGTCATGATCCCAAATTCATCACGATCACCACGTAATGACTCAAGAAGAAGAAGAAGAAAATGGTAACAAATATGCAACATTGCTTCCACAACACTGGCTTGACTTGGAATAACGCCCGCCTTGTTGCAGCTGACATACCACTTCTTGTTTGGACCACCTCGGTGGCATGTCTAGACGGCCTTGACAACGCGAAGCTTAGCTAAGATGGCACAGCCCAAACTGAAACTTCGAGAAGATGGTGGGATGTTTAGCGCGGCCACTGTATATCCATGCCTCTTCCCCGGCACCAACTCTCTTCCAAACAGGGAAGCCGTTGGAAATTTGACCCTCGATGAGCTGGTACAGGCCTGGCACACAAGTCACAGCTTGGAGCTCTAAGCAGAATTGTGGGGACTCTCTGAGAGGTAGCCCGTTTCAGTTCGCAATTAAATTTGGGGTCTATGACCCTCTTGCCGAAAATAAACACTTCCTACGCTCACCCGACTTTCCAACCCAAAGGCGGCCTCCGAGCTTCTGCTGGCCAGCGCGAGACGTAAAGGACAGCTGAGTGGGGACTTCTTGCGGTCGAGGCATGGGAGCAGGCTGCCGATCTGCAAGTCTATATGCTACCCATGCTGTTCTTCAAAGTTAGCTCACATGTTGCGATGTGTTGAAAAATCTAAGAATCTCAGCAATCTGGGGGAACCAGTGCGGTATCCAGAGTTTCTAGGCCCATGGCACTTCATGCGGCCCTCTTTTGGTCTAACTTTGGGCCAAGGGCAAGCGCTTGCAAACTTTGCCATTGCCCGTCGACCCCCTGCTGTTGTTGGAATTGTCCTGGGTTGCTGAGAAGGGATTTGGAATCAAGTTGCTGTCGGAAAGAAACTAGTTTTTTCAGTTATCAAAGTTATGGTGACTTACTTGAAGCCGCTTGCCACCCTGGATTCTATAACCCCTATACAACTCCAATTTATGGTTCACTTTCCATACTCTTTTCCGTTATGGTAGCTTAGTTTAAGTTCCTTAGTGAATCCCACACCAAACCCTGAACGCTAAACCATTGCTTGACTTAAGTCCTTGACAGCACTCCAGTTTTTCTGAATGTGGGAGCTTCTGATTTCAAACCAGGAAACCCCCTGCCCAACAAGCCTGGTGCTCGGCTGGGCCAGGGCAAGCTTGGTGCTACTTCCTTCTGCGCAATTATCCCTACAGTATGATTCCAAGTACCCAAATAATAGGCTCTAGGTGCCCAAAACCAGTCAGATCATGGTATTAGGGCTAAGAAACTACTCTTGCATCTTCTAGCTCTGCTTACACAACGTGCCAGCCAGCCATCCCTACAAACTCCTGATGAGTCAGGCTCAGAGTGGCCTGGAAGGTGCCTCGGCATTCTGAAGCAGGAGCAGAAGCTGCTACATCCTAAGAAGCAGAAGATCGAATATCCTCGTAGTGCCAGAAACACTGCATCTGTTGCTGTCTGCTGTGACAAAAAGCACCTGTCCTCCTGCCTTGCGGCTTTGCTTGTCAACTTGTGCTACTCTACCCCCCCCCCAGTTGCGCTGCCACAAAGCCCTCTGCTGAAGCAATGCCATGAACAGCCACCAAGAATACGAATAGGTTAGTTCAAAGCATTTCCAAGGCTTCTGGCCGATGTCAAGTCTCCGTCCCCTCTTGGGTTTTGGGACTCCGGCATCAGTGGATCCTCACAACGGTCCCAAATCCAACAATTTTGGCCTTCATCACCGGTCATTTCCAAGCTATAAGCTACCCCTAATTCACAAGGAAGCCCGGGCTCCTGTTCTTCGCCTGTTCCTTCCTGGCAAGGCAAGAACACCCAGGCAATCTGACCGACATCTTTGGAGGCAGGGCTCCTGTCTGGGGAACCACAGCCATGCAGGTAGCATTATGACGGTGCAAGCCTGCAAACATGCTGCCAAAACCATAATGCTGAGCAAAAAGGACACATCACAAAAGCTCGCACCAGAAGAGACCATATGGTCACCGTGAAGGAAAACCTGCGGCATTAAACGTGTCACAGCTCCATCACCAGGGCCAAACTAAGGATGGGACTCGTAGCCATGCCTGTCCTGGGGAGCCACGGGTACTGACAAAACGAATCCAGGCGGCACGTAGCTTCCACTCCCAAAGAAGCAGCAAGGCTTCAAGCAAATGCTAACAGCATCTGGGTATTTCTCAGGGATCAAGGCATCCAGGGCACTGCACGTGCCGTTTGTGTAAGGCCCCGCTTCCGGAGCTCTAAAATTCTTGCAGGAATCACCGTGGGATGCCCTGCGGACTCCATGTCAGGAACCCAACGTTGAAGGCTCTGTTCTTCAGGACTGCGTGCAGGGCATGTAGCAACTGCATGCATAGCAGTCACCCTCTGAGGGCACCACAGCCAGAAATCCGCCCAGCACGGCTGAAGCGCTGAAGGAGAGTGTACGCAGCCTCAAACTATTGTGACATCAAGCTAGGTGTACATTCTGTATTGCTTCGAGGGACTTGAAAGCGCTCTGGCCAAGCTGTTCTTCTAAACCAAGATGCGAATTCAAGGCAGCCCATCGACTTCGCCTCGCACTTCGCAATGTGCAGCTTTCTGCATGCACCAGCAGCAGCAGCAGCAGGATTCCAGATGAAAACCCTAAGTGGCTGGCTGACTCACAGGAACGCAGTCCATGGTGATTGAATACAGGACTGGATCCCTTGCATGTAGACCTTAGTCTTGAAGTCTTGCAAGACTGCACAGCACGGCGTTCCTCAAACTTTTCAAGCAACGTCTCCAAGATGCGAACATGCAAAGCGCAGCAAGTAGCATGCGCAAGCCACTAGCCTCAAGCTAAGTGTTGTCCTACTTGCTCCACAAAGGTAACCGATAACATCTTCTGAGCTCATGACACGGAAGGGTTAAACAGGCCTCCACCGTAGATGCCAAGAGTTGCAACGGCGGATCCTGCCAATGACGAGATGACACAGGAGATCTGAAAGAGCGGAATGTCTGCTGCCAGTCTGCAAGCTGAGCAGGCACTACCCAGCCTATGTGGAGGAGTAGAGCCAGGTTGCACCGGCCCAGCCAGACTGCACAGCAACGCGCGAAAGGAAACGAAGGGAAAGTATGCAGAGCTACGCAGTGCTATGCTTGCTACGCACGCTGGTACGCACCTGAAAGCGGCTTGCCAAGCTGGGCAAAGGCTGCAATGAAGAGTCTGGCAAAGCAGCGCAAAGCAGTTGCATGTCTTCGCATGGGCTTGTCAGAGGCTGGATCCTGGCCTGCAAACGGCATTCAGAATGCAGAGCCTCTGCACAAGAACAGCAGGTGCTGGTAAAGCACTTGGATCACTCAGCTCCATGCTGGGCCGGCGTGAACCTTCCGACAGTCTGTTGCGCCGCAGATTGTTGAAAAGCCAAGGCAAAGGCCGCCAGCCTGAGAACCTGGGTGAAGTACAGCGAAAAGTAGCGCACTGTCCTCAGCGACAAGGCATCATGCAGAGGGACCCTGAAATTCAGCAACCTCGACCCCAGCAAGTCTGTTGTAAGTCGCAAACATACCATTTGCTAGCAAGGTTGCGATGAAAAAGATGTTCACTGACAGTGCGACGACCTTCAGACATGACAAGTCGCTCAGATAAGCATGACAAAAAGCACGGAAAGAGCACAGAAGCACGGCGATCGCCCTGAGAGGCGGGCGAAGCGCCTCTTCCAGGATCCCAGGACTCGCTGCTCCAGCCATGCCTGGAAACAGTCTCTTCTCGAAAGGCGCAGAAATAATGAGCTTATTCAAAGGTTTGTCTGCCTCGCTTATCCTCTTGCGCGCTTCTTGCGAGCGAGGGTGAGACATCTCGTCCTCCGCTTCAGGTTCATGCAAACATTGCCACATGGCTTGCAGGTAAGCAGCCAAAACTGAGCCAAAGGTCCGTGTTCGGGATGCTACTCAACTCCTCACATGGGAAGGGAGCAGCTCCCAAATGTTGCTGCTTGCAGAATCCAAGGCCTTCCCGACAGGCACCATGAAGGTAATTGAAACTCCAATCAATGGGAGTATCAGCCAACCTGGCCAAACAGCTCAGAAAAAACGCTCGATCTCAATCATTGAGTTTTGCAGGCAAGTCATGTCGCATGAATAAGCGGCAACTCGCTGCAAAAATGTGACCATGAAGCGTGACATCGGCAATGACTTGCACCCCCCTCTACCCGCTCCCAGCTGTCATGATTTGGGGTCCGATCGGTTGTTGGTTTCCGGGGCAGGGGCCAGGCTGTAGGAGCCCCCCATCGTTTTTTTTGGGGAGGTGGAGGCGGGGTGCGGGCCAAGGGCGGGGGGGTTTGCCCCAAATGTTTCCTGTAGCCTGGGCGGTAAGACCATATCTTTTCCTCATTCTGAAAATTAGAAATGCGGGATTGTACACGAGAGCTCAGAAATCAATTTCCCCGGCTTATTTGTTTGATTCCCCATTCAAAATGTTCATCTTTTTCTGAACCCTACAACGTCAGTATGTTCGCTGCTTGGTCATCCGAAAAGCACTGACACTCATGGGAAATGGTGCGCCCGAACGAGGATTCTTCCTTTTGGGATCTATATTGGTCCTCATATTTTGAAAACGTCCATATTCTAGGATCCCATCTTCCTGTGCAAAGCAACTGGACGCCGCTCCTGGAAGAAGAAGCAACTCGAAGATGTCGGTCGTCCAGCTATCCTCTCTACTTACTGGTGCTCAAGGGGGACTGGATCCCTTCAATCTTCCTTACATGCTCTCCATGTATCCTTATTCGAGGACCTAGTACCAGTAGGGCCCCTCAACGGGAACCCCTAGGAGATGCAACGCGAGCATTATGTGGGATAAGGCATCCTTGCAGAGAGCTCTCGATCCTCCCCGTTGAAAACCGATGCACGCTAGGAATGTGAGAAACGCCTGATTCTGCCTGTCCTGGGCAGGTCCGAAGCAGACCACCTGACAAGGTACATAGAGATTGATAGGGCTAACAATTGCAACGATTGTATTAATACTATCAGTAGTAAGGGGTAATCTTTAATAATTGAAAATCAGATTCAAATTCAAATGACATGGAAACCTTGATGATCCAATTTCCATTCCATGTCCATTTTCTTTACTATGTTATAGTTGTCCATTTTTTGTTCATGGTATTTTCCATGTGCTTTTCTATTGTTGGGCCCTATATCCACATAATACCCCTGTATAAGATAAGCCTACAAAAAGCAGCAAACAGCAATTTCAAGTTGATATTCCTTTTATCCCTATGTATCTCCATATACCCCTTGAAAGGGGCCAAAGGTTTCCACTCATGTTCCATGCTCTTTTGCAATTGTTTTTTCCATAGTTGGGACCCACACCCCCATAATATCTCTACATAAAATAACCCTAAGCCTCTATATATATATATATATATACTCAGACATATGTATATGTGTATTTAATAGCTTCCATTTGGGGATTCTCAAAATTATGGTCCCTTTTTGGGTCCCCTAACTTAAGCCCCGTATTATAATAGGGACCCCAAAAGGGACCATAATTTTGAGAATCCCCCATTGGGTTTTCCATTCTTCTGAATTTCTTTTCAGCTTCAACGCGCCAGGCTTCGGGCCAGAAGCTGTATGGCTGGTCCCAGAGCCATGGCAAGAGCCTCTGAAGATGCTTCCTACGAATAAGCTATAGTCCCCCTTAAGTAGATATAGGGATTATTAGGGTATATTGGGGCTATATAGGGATAATGGAAAAGAAAATGGAAACTACTATAATGTAATAGGGTATAGTCCCCCTTAAGTAGATAGAATATGGCTTTGGGCATATTAAAATAAGATTCCCATATACCCCATATTCTACTTAAGGGGGACTATAGGTTTGGTGTTTGGGGATTCAGGGTCTAGGAATTTAGGGTTTAGGGTTTGGGGATTCAGGGTTTAAGGATTCAGGGTTTAGGATGAAAGGTTGGGGATCCGGGGTTTACGGTTTACGGAATCCGGGTTCAGGGATCCAGGGTTTAGGGTTTACTGTTTAGAGATCCAGGGTTTAGGCATGGACTTAGGGTTAAGTGTTTATGGATTCAGGTTGTTTTAAGCGCTCGTTTCAACCGCTGCCGATCGAAGGCCCCATAGGGTTTAGGGATTCAGGGTTCAGGATCTAGAGTTTAGGGATTCAGGGCTTGTGAATTTAGGGTTGTGGGTTTAGGGTTTATGGAATCAGGGTTTAGGGATCCGGGGTTTAAGATTTAGGGTTTATGGATCCAGGGTTCTGGATTTAGGGTTTAGGGATTAACGTTTAAGGGTTCAGGGTTGAGGGTTTAAGGTTTGGGTATTCACGGTTCAGGGGTTAGGGATTCAGGGGTGCAGGTTTTAGGGATCCGGGGTCTAAGGTTTAAAGTTTATGGATTCAGGGTTTAGGGTTTATGGATTCAGGGCTTTGGATTTAGGATTCTGGGATTGAGGGTTTAGGGATTATGGACTCAAGGTTTAGGATCCGGGGTTTAAGGTTTAGGTGTTCGAGGGTTTGGAGATTCAGGGTTTAGGGATTCCAGGTTTAGGGTTTAGGGATCCAGGGCTCAGGTTTTAGGGCTTCGAAGTTCAGAGTTCAAGGCTTAGGGATTGAGGGTTTGAGGTTTAAGGTTCGGGATCCAGGGTTTAAAAATAATGGATTCAAGGTTCAGGGATTATGGATTCAGGGTTGAGGGTTTAGGGTGTGGGATCCGGGATTTGAGGTGTAGGGATTCAGGGTTTCAGGTATAAGGTTTAAGGATTCAGGTTTAGGGTGTAGGGGTTCAGGGTTTAGGGAGTTTAAAGTTTGTGGATTCAGGGTTTTGGGTTCAGGGATTTAGGGATTAGGGATTCAGGGTTTAGGGATACGGGATTTAAGATGTAGGGGTTCAAGGTTTAGGGCTTGAGGTTTGGGGATTCAAGGTTCAGGGTTTAGGGATTCAGGGCTTCGGGTTCAGGAATTCAGGGCGTCTTGCTGCGCGGGGGCTGGAAGTAATATGTAGATATTATATGGCGCCCCGACACACCCAGGGTGCCGGGGGAACGGCATATCTTGCGACGGCACGTCTCTCGTGCTCAACAAACCAAGAATTGGTGTATTGGTTTATTCTCCCACTCCCTGCTGGCACAGGCATCTGCCCAACTTTATTCCTTTGCCGGCTTCGGGCTGACGCCCTCAATAAATTCCGAGAATGAAACGAAAACAACGGGCCTGCAGGCGGGGCTTTCGAGGGTCTCCGAGGGCCTCTGAAAACCTCCCAGAAGCGAGCGCTTCCGAGAGCCTCCGAGAAACTCCGAGGGGCTCCGAGGCCTCCGAGAGTCTCCCAGCACCTTACGGATCTCCGACCACTGCTGACCGTATGTTCTTGGAACACCAGCGGAATTATGGCCTGCAACCGGACTCAAGCGGCAAAGCTTGGCTGCTATGATGAACACGCTCATTCCCAAATTACAGCATAAAACAGGTCAACTCGGAAAAATGACGAAAATCCTTGAAAAATGACGAAAATCCTTCAAAAACGGCCCTCAGCGTGGCACTGGCGCGTCAAAAAAAAAAACTGAAGAGAGCACAAACTCCACTCTCTACCCCCCTTGCTGGCAGACCTCTAATTTCAGCACTTTCTGGGCAACTTCCAGGGGGAGCTTGAGGCGCAGCTCACACTCTCCATAAATCTTTAGGCTTACGAGTAGCTCCAGGTCAGGGTGGGCACGGCCTAAGAAGGCCTGGGCGGGAATTTAGGGATCCAAGGTTCAAGATTTAGGAGATCAGGGTTTAGGGTTTTAGGTTTGTGTTTGATTAACGCCCTCGGGGGAATTTGTATCGGTCACTATCGAGAACGCGGGGCTACTCTGAGGGAGGTTTCGTCTAATGCTCATGGGAACATCATCAAGATGATTATAGTCTGAAGCCATAGTGGCACAGTAAGTGGCACATCAAGCTCCAGAACTACACCACAAGAACCCCCACACACAGAACACCTAACCTCCTGGCCTTGACCCTATCAACCCTCCCTGAAGCTACTCCGAAGGGGCGCGTAACCCTAGAGGCGCACTCTCGATTTGTGCGTGTCATCTTGAGCCATGTGCAATGGCGTGTCATTCTTGCGCAGGGGTCAGTCATGCTTGGCTTGACCTACGCGTGTCATCCTTTGCAGGAGCCATGCAGGCAGTATCACACATATGGACAATCACACTCCTCCTCGCATGAGCCTTCAGGCGCGAAGGGGAATGCGGTTACGGTTGTCCATCCATGCATTCTGCACACACTCAGGCGCCCTCCTAGCTACGGTCATGAACTGCAAAACAGCGTGCTTGGCCTTCCCGGCTCTTGGTCCTGCGCCCCGTACAGGCTCCCCTGCCGTTTGCGGCTCTTTCTTCTTTCGAGGCATAAAGCTTTGTTTTCACAGCTCCAACGAGCACACCTATCATGACCGACGGCAAACCTGAATGATTCCTACACGCATCCTAACATTAACGTCTGGGTCCTAGGTTTCACTGGACTATTCCTTCGGTGAAAACCCGGTCTCATTCTATCATGCAACTGCCAGCCTTCGGTCCTTACCACCTTCAGCTAGCACAAAAGTGCGTTCGTGGTACATACGTGTCACATGTAACGTTTCGCATCGTCCGCTCAAGAGAGCTTCTGTTCGTTATCCTTCATGAAGCTTCATCACTGAGACTTGCTTTCGAAACAGCTCCAGCTTCACACGTGCCAGAGTCTTGGTCAGTAGGTCGGCCGACAACTCTTCTCCTGCCTTATGGCTCAGCTCGATGCCGTGCTCTCGCAACATGTCTCTGACCCATGATGCCCGGAGAGCAAAATGACGAGTTCTCCACAGCGTCTCTTGAAATCGAGCCTTGGCCAAGGTAGCCAACGAAGCTGCATTATCGCCCTCTGCCTTCAATGCAGAGATTTCTCCAACCTGTCCAACAAAAATCGCAACCTTTAGCATGTCTGCTATAGCGTCTGCCATTGCTCCAGTCTCGGCCTCGCAAGTTGAGTGGGCTGTCAAGGTTTGGCGCGCTGACCGATACATTACAACATTGCTTCCCCATCGAATCACATGTCCAGATCTAGATCTAGATCCTCCACTTCCAAACGAAGCGTCTGACTCAAGAGATAAAACATTGTTTGTATTGTCGGGGCCAAACTCAATTCCATAAAACATAGTGTGTCGAA